CCAGCATTTGTTATTTTCTGTCTTGTTGAACTTTGCTACTAGTGCTGGAGCAAGATGGTATCTCATTGTTGTTTTGATTTGCATCTCTCAAGAGGTCTTTTGCAGATTTGCCCAGTGCAATATGTCTTGTGATGTCTTGACTGCTGCTTCCACTGGCGTTGATTGTGGAATCGAGTAATATGAAATCTTTAACAACTTCAATCTTTTCTCCATTTATTGTGATGCTGCTTATTGGTCCAGTTGTGAGGATTTTTGTTTTCTTTATATTCAGATGTAGTCCATACTGCAGACTGTTGCTATAGGTGTATTTCCTAGATTGCCATGATTTACATATTTCAGGGAATGTGTAAAGTATGATTTCCAGAGTCTAAACATTATATACAGTGAAACCTATAAGAGCCAGCACTCTCAGATTATTTGCTCTGCATACAGATTGAATAAGTATGGTGAAAGGATACAACCCTGATGCACATGTTTTCTGATTTTAAACCACACAGTATTCCCTTGTTCTATTCAAATGAAAGCTGCTTGGTCTATCTACAGGTTCCTAATGAAAACAATTAAATGTTCTGGAATACCTGTTTTTCACAGTGTTATCCATAATTTGTCAAGATCCACACAGTCTAATAAGGCCTTTGCATAGTTAATAAAATATAGATGTTTTGGTTACCTAGTGCTGCTCTAACAGAAATACCATAAATGGAATAGCTTGAACAAACAGGAGTTTATTCTTTTACAGTTTGGAAGCTTTAAGTCCAAGTTCAAAGTGCCAGGCTTTAGGGGCTGGGTGAAAGCCCCTCAACCTTGGGCTTCAGCTCTGCCTTCTGTTCCTGGCCCACTGAAGCTAGAGGCTTTTCTTCACTCAGCAGCTGGCTGCTGAAGCTGACAAGCCCAAGGTTGATAAGTAAAAAGGCACAGTCCCAATGTTACCAAACAACAGGGCAGGCCACTAATTCAAAGTCCAGATAAAGTGCCACGATTGGCAGGGCATGGCAGGCTGTTGAACAATAAGTTGGCTACATGCAGGGTTCAAGCACAACAAAAGGCTAGAGACCAGACCCAAAGCTTCTCCTTATATATGGGGAGCAGACCACATCCCTAAAGCATCTAGTCAGCTGCTCATGGCAGATTCCACCATGGAGTTGATTGCCAATCTCATCATGGGAAATAACTACCTCCAGCTGCCCAGCTACTATGCCAGGCCCAGCCAAGTTGACAACAACCTTAACTACCACAATTGGTAAACATCTTTCTGGTTTCTTTTCTTTTTTTTTTTTTTTCTTTCAGCCAATATCCATCTGACATCAGCAATGATATACCTAATTCCACATCCTATTCTGGGAGCTCTGGTAGCATAGTGGCTAAGACACTTGCCTGCTAACCAGACAGCTGGCGGTTCAAACCCACCAG